TGGAGAGTGAGGGGAACACATCCTAGGCCACCAAGCCGCGAGGACGATATTCCTTGTCTGAGCCGACAATGCACAGAGGACTATAGGGCCGGCACCACCATGAGACAGGACACCCCGCACTGAACCATAGCGCTACGGGGGACGACACTGGAGACAGTGTGGGAATTGTGCCCATTCTAACCCCATCACACTGGGGCAAAACACTCAGGGAATGCAGCAGAGGAGCAAGGGGAGCAAAGTGGTGAAGTCCTGGGGGATACCAAAAATAGAATTTGGAGACAGTGGGGCATGCCATCGGACTCAACTGAAAACACTCATAAAGCCCAACAAACAGATCTTGAACTATTATAGGCTTTTCCATGTTTGTCAGTGGCTTTCTTTTTGTTGTTATTTTGTTTTTGTTGTTGTTGTTATTGTTTTGTTGGTTTTGACTTGTTTGGTTTGGTTTTGTCTGTTTTTTGCACTTATTAATGTCTCTGCATGTCTATCTAGATAAGATAGGTGGGATAAACAAATCAGATATGAAAAAAATGGGACCGATGGTTCTGGGGGGAATATGGGAGAAGGGTAGGTGGGAGAAAGGAGCAGGGGGCAGGGGGGACTAACCCAAGGACAGGGGAACAAGTGAACTAAAATCAATGGAGAGAAGGGCGTAGGATACCTAGTGGGGCTTAATCAATGGCAATGTAGTAGCGAGGAATTACTGAACCTGAATGAAGGCTGAACATGATGGTGGGACAAAAGGGAAGCAAAAGAAAATAGAGGAAGGTACTTGGAGGCAAAGGAAATTTATAGAGGTCTAAATACAAGCATGTACATATGTAAATATATTTATATATAACGAGAGGGGAGTAGATCTATATAATTATATCTATATGTTAAGAATAAGGTTGAATTTGGACATTGGGGGGTACTCAAGTACTCCCTCAACACAAGAACACTTTGTTCTAATAATCCGGCATTCTGTGATGCTCACCTTCTCGACACAATAGCTGAAGACCAAAATGAGTCCATAAGCAAATGTGGTGAAGAAAGCTGATGGTGCCCGGCTATCAAAAGATATAGCATCTGGGGTCTTAAAGGATTGAAGATAAACAAGCAGCCATCTATCTGAGAAGCAACAAAGCCCACAAGGAAGAAGCACACCACCTTGTGTGATCATGAGTTGTCCATGGGATCAGGAATCAGGCATCTAAGACCCAGAACAAAATCATACCCAATGTGAATGGGGGTGGTGGTGGTGGTGGTGTGTGGAATGGAGACCCAAAGCCCAGATGTGGACAATTGAACAATCTTTCACAAAAGAATCACAAGGAAAAGATGAGAAAGTCAGGGTGCAGTATAGCATCGATGAAACACACAACTTTCCTCTAGTTCTTTAATGCTTCCTCCCCCCCACCACCACTATCATGACCTTAATTCTACCTTACAAATTGGATTAGACCAGAACATGCACTCTGCTACAGATAAGAGCCCGCAACACAGGGAATCTAGGATAGATAAACCCCTCAGGAGCATCAATGACAATACAAATACCAGGAGAATAAGGGGAAAGTTGGGAGAGAAAGGGGGGATCAATCACAAGGATCAACATATAACCCACTTACAGGGGATGAACAACAGAAAAGTGGATGAAGGGTGACAGAGGACAATGTAAGATATGAAAATAGTAATCTATAATTTATCAAGGGTTCATGAGGGAGAGCGGGTTGAGGAGGGATGGGGAAAAATGAGGAGCTAATATCAAGGGCTCAAGCAGAAAGAAAATGCTTTGAAAATGATGATGGCAGCATATGTACAAATGTGCTAGACACAATGGATGATGTATGCATTGTGGTAAGAGATGTAAGAACCCACAATAATAGCATTTAATTTAAAAAAGGGGGGGTAGACCTCTGACTTAGCCTCGTGAGTACTAGCACTGAGCCTTTCAACTAATGTTTGGGAATAAAGGCGCCTGTGAGGATGTGATCTCCCTTCCTCTACATCCTAGAGGAGTGTAGTCCAAGGGTTCTCAACCTGCGGGTCGCGACTCCTTTGGGGCTTGAATGACCCTTTCATGGGGGTCCCTGGATTCATAACAGCAGTAAAATGACAGCTATGAAGTAGCAATGAAAATATTTTTATGGTTTGGAGGTCACCACAACATGAAAAGTTGTATGAAAGGATCACAGCATTAGGAAGGTTGAGAACCACTGTTCTAGATAAGTGAAACTCATTGAGGTATAAAATCATATATCTCATACTTTGACAAAATGGAAGATGGAAAGAAATCAAGGACAAATAGAGAACAACAAATGCTAGAGATAGGAACTCTTCTGCACTATTTCTGGGCTTGCCAATGTGTGCAACTGCTGTGGAAAGCAAGAGGGAACTACCCCAAACAGCTGAGAATAGAAAAATGCCATGCGACCAAGGAATCCCTTTACTGGGCATATAACCCAAAGAAATAAGAGACAGAACACGAACAGAAGAATACTCTCCCATGCTCATTGCAGCACAACTCACAATAGCAAGTAGCTGGAAGCAGTACACTTTCCCACAAGGAGAAAATGAATAGCTAAGCCCTGGTACATACACACAAAATCATACTATGTATTCCTGACAAACAGTGCTGAAGCCATGCAACACCTCATGAGGTGGAAACACTTTTGCCGAATGAAGTTAGTCAATCAAAAATGGATAAGTATTGCATGAGCCCACTTCTAAAAGATAAACACCAAGAAAAGGCAGGCTTCTGCTCTCACATCAGGTCACCTCTTAATCTGGTTGGCCAAACAATGAGATAGAGATTGTGCCTGGTGTCCAGGATCCAAATATCACCCCCTTTATGTGGATTCTTTAGAGACCACTTCAACAGAGGAGAAACCATTTCAGCTGGGGCGAGTTGCTCAAGATGGTTGGAAAGGTAGAAGACCATTCAGTGGCTGCCACACCACATTGTGCCCGGGACACTCAAAAAAAAAAAAAGAACAAACGAAAAGAAAAACACCACTCATCTATGACTGAGAAGCAAATCTTACTGGACATTCAGTCCAGATAACAGGAGGGTGGTATCTATGTTGCCAAGAAGGAAATTGCACTTAAGTAATTGAGCTAACTGGGGAGAGAAACAAACAAACGACAGACAATAAAAAACGAAACAAATATGTAACAATTCTATATAGAACCCAAGGGAAGCATAAGCCCATTTACTTTTTGAACACTTTTGACATAGATTCTATCCAGCCCGTGTTGACATAAAGTGTGTACTACAGACTCCTGGGACTTTAGAACATGACCTTTACAAGTGCACTATCTCTTTTATAGACCACTCCCAGTGGATACGATGTGGGCTTTATGTCAAACTCACCTGTAGAACATTTAAGGAACCAACAATTGTCCCTTGGACTTAAGGCTGAAAACCTTTTGTGTGAAAAGCAGCAGATGACTGCTAGGTCAGGGAATTTTTGGTTATAGAACTGTGGTTCATAGTTCTTGCTTTGAGGGTGCCCCCCCATATAGTGGCTCAGGACTTCCATATATTTACTATATTAATGTCTTCCTTGTTTTCTTCTCACATGTATTAGTCTGGTAGACATGATTCTGCTTGTATGAATGAGTGTTATTGAAAGTTTTTCCCTATTACCAATGCTCATTGTTGGTGTGAATAGTTTGGTTACATAAGAGTTTAATCTGTACAAGTCAACAATTTCTGTATTGTAGTCTGAAGCTGGCCTATATTCGTATAATTCCTCTTTTCAACAGTGATGTAAATTCTATAACACTGGCTAAATTAATGACACTATATTACCTGTGTAACATGGGCATGATTATAATGTTCTTTATCATAAAAAGATGTCTCTAAAGTGAAGCAGAGACATATATAAACCATAGGTGTATAAATGGGTTTGGGGCTCCCACTTAATTTAAGCCCCAATCTACAAACAATTAGTTCTTTTAATATTTGCCCATCCCCCACGCTTGTCCTTGTGAAGTAATCACTCAAGATATGGGTGCTAGAGCGCAGTGGGATGAAGAAAGCAGATGGTGTCCCTATATCAGAGAGAATAGAGTCTGGCATCTTAAAATACTATCTTAAAACCAGCTGTCATTTAAATGATAAATCAACTTAGTCCACATGCAAGGACACCAGCCTGTGTGCTCCAAGGATTGTAATTATACCACCACGTACAAAGGAGAGAATGATTACAGTTTAAATTATCAACACATCGACTGCCAAAGCTATGGATTATGTGGAAGCCAAAAGTCCATTTGCAGGGCCACCACATAAATTAAGCCTCATGTTCATCCCCTGAGAACACAGTCCAGGGATGTGAATACCTTGCTATCAAACACAGAGCATGGTAATGTTGATGACAGCAGATGGCTTAGGTTAAAATGTACATCCTTAAACTTGATATCCTTTGGGACCCATTTTAAAGTTGTTTCAGTTTTCAATATTTACACCTTTATTTAAATGAGATTTTCCTATGTCTTTCCTATTCATTGTTGTTGCTGCTGCTGTTTTGCTTGTTTCCTTCTAGATTGTGCTTTTTTTTCATGTCTGTATACAAAATCTGGGACAGGTAAATCTACAGACAGCATACCTGGATTAATAACCACCTAGGGGCATGGCAGGAGAGGATGGGGGGACCCGGGGAGCTCACAAGCATGTTTATGAGAAGGAAAGGTCCCAACATAATTTTGGTGATTGTACACATTTTAATTTGTTTCAACACTCAAATCATAAAATATGTGTTGCAAATGACATAAAAACTATTTTGAAAAATATGATCTAGCAACACAGAAAGAACTTATATAAACTTGCCCAAGTGTGCTTTGTGCCTTTTGAATAACTATCAGTAAATAAATAACAAGTCAGTAAATAAAGAACGTGGACAAGAAATGATCGTGCTTTATTTTTCACCCCTGGTATTTCATGGGTTTCATGAAGGTTTTCAAAATATTCTCCAATTTCAGATCAGATGATCTAATCTGAGTAGAAGAAACTTCAGTTTTCATATGGGGCAAGGAGAGTTGCGACCACTAAGCCAGTTGAATGCTTTCGCTAGGAGAGCAGCATTCGCCATGGCTGTCAGGTGGGTTTGGCGTCTCCCTTTCTCTTCCTCTGTTGGTTCATAGAGGGATGAGAGGGGAGTGGGAGCAACATTGTTGACTTTGGCCAAAAACTCAAGTATTTTAGCCCTAGAGCTATCAACAAGAGCTCTGGGACCCCACAGGAATTCATAGCAGGGTGGTTCACTATCAAGTACCTTACGATACTCCAAGTACCCCAGCTTGACCAGATCTTTGGTAAGGAGCCTCTTGGGCTCTCCATAGATATAATGTTTCTTCCCCGGAAATACTCTCACCATGCTGAGGAATTCCCAGATCTCTTGTGCAGTGGCATGGTGGCCCTTCATTAAGATCACCCCCAGTACTGTCATCAATAGCCCTGTCTTTGGCAAGCCCCTGCCAGGATAGACTCTTCCATTATTGGGGAGGTACAATTTGCTGGCAAGAAAGTATGAGTCAAAGATGGAGTAAGATTTCCTAACTTCAATTGCATACCCCACCTCAAGGCGCTCAGATGCCTTCTTAAGAATCTGGTGAAACTGGTCTTTGAATCTGGGGCTGATAATCTTTACCATGTCAACCTTGGAAATGTGCTGCTTCATTTTAAACTTGTACAGCATAAAGTGCTCCAGTATATCTACCCTCAAGTCCAGAGTGTCAAGGTATAAGTCCTCAGTGTTGGGGGAATGTAAACACTCCCTAGATGGTCGCTTGGCCCCCTTGTCAGCCACTCTGTTTATAGAAGTCTTGATGGTGGAAAAGGGTTCCTGGGGCTCTTGAGGTGTATGAGGGACCTTAGCAGCAGCAGATCTCTGGGGGTTCTCGTCACGAAGTGGAGTGGAAGAGAAGGAACTGGTCTCTTGTCGTACATGGGCCTCCCCTTGAACTTGCTGGTGTTTCTCATCCTTCTTGGGTTTACACTTACGATGTAGAGGCATGGTGTCGCTGGTCAAGGGCAACCTTCAATACCCTAGGCTGGAGAGCAGGTGATGTGAGCTTGGGGGCTGTGGGCCACGGAGAAGATGTACAGCCTTCAGCACGGAGATGTCTATTTGGCTTTACCGAAGCCACCTCTGCGGTTTCCCACGAGGGCACTGTCCTAAGATTACCAAACCTTCGTTGCTCCTGGGAGCCTGTCTTTGAGAATTCTGTGCAGGAAGATAGAGTATGCAATAGGTTATTGCCTGCCAGCTCTGCCTGAGGTTTACTGGGGCTGAGAGCAGGGTCTCATACAAGGGAAGTCTCCATTCTTCAGGGGGTTGGGCCAGATCATGTTTCGAGTAGCCTGTGAAGTGGGATGGGAGCTCTCTTGCCCCCCTTTACTTCTACTTTTCTGAAAGTGACCCCTATAATCAAGGCAAGCATCCCCCTCAGACCCCCAAAGGCGTATATGGAGAACTTCAGTTTACCATGGTGACCCAAATCACCCAGTACTGATACCTGTCTGGGAATCACTCATAGACCCTTCAGCTGTTATTTAGAATTTTCCCCTCTCCTCCATGGAGAAGCTCAGAGCCTATCCCTTGCTTACCTGATGGCTGGATCCTCGGAGCATACGTCTCAATTTCTTGGGATCTGATGTCAAGAAGCGATGGGGAAGCACCACAGCCCCTTTGCCCTGGCCTGGACTTGCAAGACCTAAAAGAAGGAAAGAAAGTCAGAAGCCTTGCTATCCCTTCTATTTAAAGGTGGATAGTCTCCTCAGTCATAGCCTGGACTGTGGGGTAACCTAAGATATGCCCTCCCTTATCCTGAGACTTCATCCTGAGACCAGCACCTCTCTGAGACTTCAAGGAGCAGTGATGTTGACTTATTTTACCTCACCTCTCTCTGGTCTTCAATGTTGGCTGAGAGTAAGGCAGGAAATCTCGGATCTCCTTACTGTCATCAGGTTGGTGGTCCTCCTAGGCCCAAAAATCTTCCTCTTGGCCTCAGTATAGAAGCAGGAAACAGTTCTACCCCTGACTTGACAACATCCCCTTTAGCAAGTCCTTCAACAGCCTAAGACAACATCAGAGGCAATGAGTAGGATTCAGTGTAACAATGGCTGGTAGCCCAGGGAGGCCAACAGGGTGGGGCCCTGTATGATCTCATCAATTATGATGCAGGAAGTTTCCCTCAGCCCTAACTCAGCAGTTGTGATGAATCCTGGCCAGCCCTAGTACTGCTCCTTTTGCTCACTTCACCCCTACCTGTGGTAGTTACATAATCTATAATCAATTTGAGAGGATTAAGAGAGAAGGGGTGGAGTTTCACCTGTCAATCAGGTGAAAGCTCCATGACCTCATTTGGAGGTGCTAGGGAGATAAAAAGCTCGTTTGAGGTGAGCTACTCCCTGGGAGACATTGCAGTTGATAGGCCACATGAATACAGGCTGATGGCAGCCAGTGCCTCAGAGCTGGAGAAGCCACGTAGAGACCCTGCCACTGCTGAGATGCTTAGACTGCCACTGGATCCACAATAATTCCCACCCACTGGCCTGTGATCTTCCTGCATTTGGCGTCATTGCATGTGTTTAGTGAGTCTGAAGAGGACCTTATACTAAATTTTAAAAAAAATTTAATGAGGCTATAGATGGTACAACCTGTTAACTTCTAGACTGTGAACCAAAGTGTTGGTTGCTCAAACTGGCCCTGAGGCAACATGGAAGAAAGGCCTGGCCAACTGGTCACAGCCTTGAAAACCCATGGAGCCTATTTCTGTTCTGAGACATACTGGCATGCTGAAAGTCAGAATCGATTCAACAGCAATGAGTTTGTTAGTGTTCTCTTTTAGTTAGTTATTTAGATCTTTAGATGGTAACTGCCATCGTCTTTGTAGCTAATCAGATTGTCACCAAACATTACTTCCTGCTTTTCTTTACTAATATCTCTGATGAAGTGTGGTGTATTTCCTGCTTCTATTATGTATTCCAAAACAGTACTTTGCATACAAGGTCCTTTTTTATGAGTCTGAAACATTTTAGAACAGTGAGAAAAGTAAGTAGATTAATAAATTTGGTAGGCCTCTGTGTTTGTTACATAATCTGTTGTCAATTTGAGTGAAGGAGTGGAGGTTAGCCTGTCAATCAGAACCATCTTTCTTGGTGCGGTGAGCCCAATTACTAGAGGACCATAAATGCTAAAGCTAAGAAAAATTACTCATCAATAAAGGAAGGCAAGATATTGAAAAGCACAACCACCAGTAATTGAAAGAAAATCTAAACGTGTAAACCAAAGTATATTGAAGGGGAACAAACCAATACAAAAACATGTATTTGGGGAGTGGTGCACATATAACCCCCTAGGGTTGAAATAGAGTGATTATGTGTGGCATTGAGCCATCCAAAGGGAATTGGGAGGGAATGATTCCAATAGGGATAGTCTCCAATCTTCATGGTAATATTGAATTGCTAAGTAGAGATCACTTCATTAAGAAGGGACTTTCGTTCTTGACACAGATCAAATTCAATATTGGCCATTCCTCCTAGACTGCCACTACTGGCCATACACATGCAGTCAGTGTTTCTTAATGTTTTCTTCACTTTGGCTCGTAACGAAGTAAGAAGTAAGCCCAGAGAATATTCTGGGGGTGATTCTGATCTAAAGGAGACCAATCACCATTCGTATTAATGGTGAAGGGGGTTATGTTGTTTATATATTATAGAGTTTGGCCACAAAAGACTCAGAGATCTTTCACATTTGAAGGAAAAGGTAGGAAAGACATATTCATCAAAATAATAAAATTCTTTCTTGTATGACTGAGCTTACTAAAGTCACAAACTCATTAATCTTGCCTCAGGAAACCCAAAGATGGCAATTAGCTATACAATTCTGCACATAACTAGGATACACACAAAAATAAATAAATAAAAGTAAATTCTTTAGGTAGCAAAGACTAGCAAACACATAAATAAGATTAATTAAGCTTGAAAAAACAACTGCCCCCCAAATGAGGTGTTTAACTATGCCTTTTTCAGTTATGGGAATTTAAACACAAACAACAACAAAATCCATAAAACAAACAAATAGTTCCATCCCTATGTCAGGTAAATCTTTTAGAAACAAAAGACTTAATTCTTCTGTAGGTTCACAGGAGTATTGAGGCTGGAGCTCTGACTCTTCTGGGAGTTCAGTCTCTAGGTAATTAATTGTCCCTGCTGGCCCAAGGCTTCAAGCGTGTGTGATGGATCCAAGCATCAATTCCCACAACCTTGACTGGAGTCAGTGTAAATGGTGATTCTCTTTCCCTCCCCTATTTCTAGGGCTCAGGTTAAGGTAACCAATCACTTTTAAGATACTACTTCATACACAGCCTAGTGGATGCCATTCTTGACCAAAGAATTACCATTTGTGAAAGAGTTAGATCAGAACTTTCCAAAAGGATGCCTTTTAGGTCATCCCTGGCAGCATAGTTGTTCAAGATGACTTGCTGACTGTCATGCAGGGGACTCTGTCCTTCTTCTGGTAAAAAAAAAAAAAAAAAGGGTGTAGGGTTTAGGAAAGTGCAGTTCGAATTTGCACCAGTGGCCTTTTGTAGACCGATAGTTCAACAGGTGGTTGTTGGAAAGCCACAGGCTTCCCTTAGCATTTAGGACCCCAGGGATATGATGTGAGGTATACACAGTCAAGTATCTTCCCTGTGTCAATTCAGATGCATCAGGAGGGCCACCACGGCCGCCACTTGGAGACAGTAGGGCCATTCTTTTGCAACATTTCAGTTTCCTTGTTCAAGTATGCAATTGACTTTTGCACAGGGCCTCTAGTTTGGGTTAGCACACCTAGGGCCATCCCTGTTTTTTCAGTTAAATGGACAATTTGCCCAGTGGGGAGGCTAAGAGCAAGAGCATTTAAAAGAGCTTACTTTAATTGCTAAAAGCCTGTTTTGCCTCAGGCCCTCAAGAGAAATTGAGACAACATTGTTTCTGGGCTTCTTTGAGGAGAGTTTGCAGGGAACAAACAATTTCACTGTACCCTGAGATCCAATATTGGAAGAACCCAGTGATATTCAAGAATTCTCTGGACTGTAGGGCCGACAACAACTCAAGACATTTTGTTCCTTTAGCTGGAGAATACCCCAAGAGAGGACAATACTTGGGACACATGGCAGGGAGTGTGGTCTGACAACCCCCCTCCAGCAATGGGGTGAACCAAGAAGGGAACAATATAACAGGTCAGCACCCAGTGCAAAGTAAAGCCACAAAGCCCTTAAAGATCCTCCAAAATAGATTTTAGGCTAGGAGGGACAGCTCCCATAATTCCCCCAGGACTAGTGGGGAGATAGTCATAAAGGTCAGCGGACAGACCTGTTTTTTTTTTCTTTTTCAACCTTTTGGTTTCTTTCTTTCTTTTTTTTCAGTCTATGTCATCCATGGTTTGCCTGCTTATAAAAGATAGGCATGGAAATCAAGTTTGTGGAGAAAGCAGTGGGACCAATGGTTCAGAGGAATTTAGGGAGAGAGGGTGCAGTGAGCAAACAACACCACAGACAGGGGAACAACTAGGGAATAAAAATTAACAACAAGGAGAATGCAGATATCCTGGGGTTGTTGGGGTGTTGGAGCAACAGCAATCTAGCTGAGAAGAACTACCAAGAGGTGGAAGTAGGGTGAGTGTGATGGTGGGTTAGGAGGGAGGTGAAAGGACAGTGAGGAATGATCAAGGAAGCAAAGCTATGGGTAGAGGTATAAGCATAGGTGTGTACCTATGTAAATAGATTAATCCATAAAAATAGAGGTATTGGCCTATGTACATATATTTATATGACAATACAATGAGGTAGTAGACAGACTCTGGGCCTCTGCTCATGCCCTCCTTCAATACAAGAACATGTTGTTCTAACAAAACGGCATTCTGTGATGCTCACCATCCCAGCACAATCGCTGAAGACAAAATGGGTACATAGTAAATGTGGTGAAGAAAG